TGTTTTACATGGTAGAGCAGAATTTCTTAAATTTTGTTCTAACATTTCTCTCCTTAATCTTTATAAATAAATAAATTTGGGGCCTCCCTTAACTAAGGACCTAATCTTGCTCCACTGAATTAATTCACAAAAATAAATTTGCCATTTGCCATTGACTTCAGTGGAGTAGGTTGAGTCCCCCATTATTATTATTTATATAAATTGTGGTAAGGGCTAAAGGCCCCAATTTGGGATTAGGGCCACACTCCACTAGTCACCATACACACACAGCAAAAAGATGGACACTGCCCAGAAGAATTCACAATTTGAAGTATAAGACAGGAGACAACAAATGGATGCAACAAGAGGATTGGGGGAGCACAACATAGCAGTGAGATCATAGAATCATAGAACTGGAAGGGACCTCAAGAGGTCATCTAGTCCAGTCCCCTGCACTCAAGGCAGAACAAAGTATTATCTAGACCATCCCTGACAGGTGTTTGTCCAACCCGCTCTTAAAAATCCCTAATGATAGAGATTCCACAGCCTCCCTAGGCAATTTATTCCAGTGTTTAACCACTCTGACAATTAGGAAGTTTTTCCTAATGTCCAACCTAAACAGCCCTTGCTGCAATTTAAGCCCTTTGCTTCTTGTCCTATCCGCAGAGGTTAAGAACAGTTTTTCTCCCTCCTCCTTGTAACAACGTTTTATATACTTGAAAACTATTATCATGTCCCCTCCCAGTCTTCTCTTCTCTAGACTAAATAAATCCAATTTTTTCAATCTTCCCTCATAGGTCATGTTTTTTAGACCTTTAATCATTTTTGTTGCTCTTTTCTGGACTTTTTCCAATTTGTCCACATCTTTCCTGAAAAGTGGCTCCCAGAACTAGACACAATACTCCAGTTGAGGCCTAATCAGCAGAGTAGAGCGGAAGAATTACTCCTTGTGTCTTGCTTACGATACTCCTACTAATACAGCCCAGAATGATGTTTGCTTTTTTTGCAAGAGCGTTACATATTTGACTCATATGTAGCTTGTGATCCACTATGACCCCCAGATACCTTTACACAGTACTCCTTCTTAGGCAGTCATTTCCCATTTTCTATGTGGGCAACTGATCCTTCCTATGTGGATAGGATGGGCATTATCCTTTTCCAGTCTTCTGGAATGTCTCCCTCTTCCATGACTTTTCAAAGATAATTGCTAATGGCTCAGATATCTCCTCAGTCAGCTCCTTGAGTATTTTAGGATGCATTTCATCAGGCCCTGGTGATTTTAAGACATCTAACTTGTCTAAAGCGACAAAGAGTCCTGACGCATGTGGTGGAAATTTCCAGAGGCAGAGGTATTCACCCACGAAAGCTTATGCTCCAATACTTCTGTTAGTCTATAAGGTGCCACAGGACTCTTTGTTGCTTTTTACAGATCCAGACTAACATGGCTACCCCTCTGATACCTAACTTGTCTAAGTAATTTTTTACTTGTTTTTTCCCTATTTTAGACACAGATCCTACCTCATTTTCACTGGCATTCACTATGTTAGACGTCCAATCGCCACCAACCTTCTTAGTGAAAATCAAAACAAAGATGATTATTTACAGTATAACAAACAGCAGTTGCAATTCACCAGCTGCCTAGCACATCGTCATGTGTTTTGTGGGCATCACAGTTAGGTGGAGTTGAAGGAGTGATTTGAAGAAGGATAATGTAGTGGCTTTGTGATGATTTTATGTACATGTGATGGGGTATACAAATCCCATACTGGGCCACAAGGGTTAATGAGCTGCTCTGGGCTCAGCCAGTCCCACCCTGCCATATCTGCAGGAGATGCATATACTATAGATCAGGGATCTCAAACTCAAATCACCAGGAGGGCCACACGAGGACTAGTACATTGGCTGGAGGACCGCACCACTGACACCTTTTCATATAAAGATACAGAAGTCCCCCCCATCCCACCCCCAGCCCCACTCTATCCCTTCCATGTGGCCCCGCCCCTGCTCTGCCTCTTTCCACCCTTTCCCCGCCCCATTCCAACCCCTTCCCCAAAGTCCCCACCCCAACTCCGTCCCCCCACTCCTGCCCTGCCTCTTCTCCGCTTCCTCCCCTGAGCGTGCGGCTCCCCGCTCCTCCCCGCTCCCTCCTGGAAAGCGCTAAGCGCCGCCAAACAGCTGTTTGGCGACAGAAGGCAGAGGAGCAGGGACGCGGCGCGCTGGTTGGAAGCAGGGGTGGCAGGTGAGGGGAGCTTGGTGACCGCAGGAAATAACTCCGGGGGGGTGGGGCGGGGACCTTGGCGGGCCACAGCAAATAACTCTGCGGGCCACATGTTTGACACCCCTGCTATAGATGGTGTTAAAAGGGAGCAGAACAGCTCATTTGTGGGCAAACCAGGGAAGAGAGCAGACCTGCAACTTGCTGAGGGCTGAGGGAAGGCAGGATCTCTCTCAACAACAACTGCCGGAAGGTTCCTTCTTGAAGGAAGAGAGAACCTGCTTCAGATGCACCCTGAGAGGGAAGTGTTTCCTTCTCTCTTTCTCTCTCTCATATGAATTGTGTTTGTGTTAATTCCCCTTGGGTTGTTTGTGGACTACCAGGACAGGGGAGAAACTGGGAATTGACCTGGCCATAGGGCCAAGTCACAGCAGGAGGCAGCTGCTGCCCTGAGAGAGCGAGAGAGCTGCCACAACAAGCATGGCCACAAGGAGGCATTCAGTGGTGAGCTGACCCCCTTCATACCTCCTTGCCACAGACTGGGAATTTTGGACAATAGCGGAGTGGTAGGAGGTGATCCAGGGAGGGCAGCCTCAAGGCACTCCTGGGTGTCAGACCTTTGATAGCCCTCACAGGGCCCTAGGCCGGAACCCAGTGGAGTGGAAGATCCCTGGCTCCCCTACCAACCCGCCCTCCACCCCGCATGTTGAAGGATCTAAGCCCTGACAAGGCAATGCTCCCCACAAAAGCAAACCATCACAGTGCAGCTACTCTTATGCAAAAGGGCGGCATTTAAGAAATCACAGAGGTGCCTGAGGAAAAACTGCACTAATGGACATTGAATGTTGACATCACTGGCAGAGCAGAGGTGGGGGTTGACATGATTGGTTTTAAAAGAAAAAGACACAAAGCTCGTGTTTGATGCAGCGAAACAGGGGGAACCAATAGAGGAATGCAGGGGAGTGTAATGTGGTTAGAAGGATGATCCAAGAAGATACTCGTAGTGGCATTTTCAGTGGATTTAAGGGGGCAAGATTGCATTTGTCAAAATCAGAGAGGAAGGTGTTGCAATATGTGAGATGTTGGAGAGCCTGGATAAGTTTTATCTGTGTGGGCCGACAGAGCCAGCTTTAGGGCGATTCAGCCGATTCCCTGGAATCGGGCCCCGTGCACCTAAGAGGGCCCCGCAATGTCCCGAAAGAGCTGCTGCTGAAGTCTCATCGCTGCCGCAGAGGAAAGTCCCTCCACCGAAGTGCCACCGAAGGCACCGGCAGCCAATTGAGCTGCCGCCGAAGTCTCGGCACTGGCGGCGGCGGCAGCTCAATCGTTGCCACTGTCTTCGGTGGCATTTCGGCAGAGGGTCCTTCCTCCGCGGCAGCGATTGAGCTGCTGCCAAAGACAGTGGTGGGACTTTGGCGGCAGCTCCTTCAAATCGGGCCCCGCAGTACCTAAAGCCAGCTCTGTGGGCAGAGGGAAATCTGGATCTTGGAAGTATTTTGCAGGAAGAAGCAGCAAGATTTAGACATGGTCTGGATGTGTAGGTCTACAGAGAAGGCTGAGTCAAAGATAATGCCCAGACTATTGACCTGAGTTGCAAGAAGGATGGTGGTGCTGTCCACAGTGATGGAGAAAAGGGCCTCTTCTAAGGCAGATGTCTTATTTTATCTTTTATTTTTTAGCTGAACTAGTTCAATTGGGTGAGCATTGGAGTGAAGATCTAAAGGTCCCCTTTTCAAATCTGGCTTCTTGTGGTAGATTCTCTATCACTGACAATTTTTCATCCAACATTGGATGTTTTTCTAAAAGCTATGCTCTAGGAATTTTTTCAGGGAAACTCTATGGGCTGTGGTATACAGATCAGATTAGATAACCACAGTGATCCCTTCTGGCCTTAGATCTGTGAATCTCTTCTCCCAAGCATCCCTTTGAAAACATTCTCTCTTAATTTTAAACCTCTGGACAGGGGAACCCTGTTAACCTTGTTTCTAGCTGGGTAATTATTATTTTCAATTAAGATGTGACAAACAGACCAATATAGAGAATATTTAATGTTCAACAGATGGTTCAATTTTTGTTGAGAGAAAAATGTGTGTGTCTCTCTCTCTCTTCCCACCCGTCTCACAGGGAGTCAGTTTTACAGTTCCAGAGACACTCACATTTGACTCTCTTTTCCATAATAATAAGAGATGATGGGAGCGTGGGTCACAAGTGGAAGGAAAGAAACAGTTTAAGATTAGCACCAAGTACTACAGATCAAAATTTCAAGAACCTCTAAAAATGCCTCTCCTAAATTTGTGATTGTATCAGTTTTCATATTCAGAAACTCATGTTTCTGTCAAGTATCAGGGGGTAGCCGTGTTAGTCTGTATCTACAAAAACAACAAGGAGTCTGGTGGCACCTTAAAGACTAACAGATGTATTTGGGCATAAGCTTTCGTGAGTAAAAACCTCACTTCTTCGGATGTTTCTGTGTGCATTTGCCCACTTTTGGATATATGAATAGATAGACTACAAATTTGGCATCCATATTTTCTGAGATCTATTTTAAATTTGGTCTCAAATATTTACATGACTTCAGTAAGCTGGGAAGTTTAAGCAGACTACAGTCATTCAAATATAATTCATTAATTTGCTCTGTGTACATGTGTACGCGTGTGCATGTGTGTGGGAACATATATATATATATATATATATATATAAAAAGGTAGACACACACAACTTTCAAAGCTCCAAAGACCACATGATCAATTTGACTGCCTCCAGAATTCCTTCAGTTATATTATAACAGTTTTTAATTTCATTCTAGGTCTCTATTTTTGCTCGGCCAATCAACACTTTCCACTTACCTTCAGATCCATCTGTCCCTTTTATGATGGTGGGTCCAGGAACTGGAGTTTCACCTTTTATTGGTTTCCTGCAACATAGGTATGTGCTGCATTATTACATGAAAAGCTGACAGTTTGTTATGTTAAGGAAAATGTTTCATAACATCTGGAGCTGGGTAGACGTAATGGGTAACTTTCTTCAGTTGTTTCTAGTTGGACATATTCTCATGCCATTTATTACAACATCACTAGGGTTTTTGTTGGAAACAATTTTATTTTAATTTTCATAGTGTCTAAATTCCTGGAACACATTCTGTTTTCACATAAATGTGCCGGATATACGGGGAATTGGATGGTTCAAGGGACTGTTAAGAAGAAACAAAATCTTTCATTTCTGGGTCTTTAGTAGGAGACCAGAATAGGTCAATAGTTATTGAAAGTTGTTACTATGCTGTTGTTTGACCTAAGAGAAATAAATTAGTATTCTCAGTTCATTTCCTTCAGAACTGGAGTCCACATCACAAAACTTACCATGGCAAATGAAATTTTTTGACAGCCTTGCTGGCAGTCTTATTTAAGAGGCCATGTATTGAATGGGCATGGAAATTGGAGTCCCTGCTGACTCTAGGGGTACGTTTAAATGGCAAAACAAATACCTGTAGCAGCAAGTCTCAGAGCCTAGGTCTACAGACTTGGGCTTGTGCTGTAACGCTAAAAATAGCTGTGTAAGCATTCGGTCGCAGGGTCTGAAATCCTAGAGAGTGGTTTTAGAACTCAAGGTCCAGCCCAAACCCAAATATTTAAACCGCTAATTTTAGCACCATAGCATGAGGCTCAGTCTATAAACCTGGCCTTTGAGACTCACTGCTGTGGGTTTTTTTAGCTGTGTAGATATACCCCAAGAGGTCCCACCAGGTGATGCCTGAAGAACGTGAGCAAAAAATTGTAGGGATACATACCAGTGCTCCTGCTGTTCCTGTTCTGTGTATGAATAAAGGGCATTGTACCCCCAAAACAGATGTAGGGTACCCCCAGAATAGTTCACTGATTGTCCCCTCCTGTGTTTACTATGGATTTCCTAAAAATAACCCACTTATTAACCATTCTGTTTTCTTAAGGTATGGGTCTCCAGGCTAACTAAGGAAATACCTGGAGAACATGAATACAGCCTTCCAATAAATGACTGACAGAAACAGTATTTTTTTCCAAAACAAAGCATTTTTGGATTAGCATAAGCAATAATCTCTAATACAGTAGTAATCTAAAAACACAAATCCCTTCAACAAGTTAAAGAGCACCCCAGCCGCAATAACATACAGTTGAAATGATTCTTAGTGGTTGCACCCTGTCACAGATGGCCAATGTCACAGGCTGCTGACAGCAATTTCTATATGCTTTAAATCTTATACATTTCTTTCACTATCAACACTCATACATATATCTTTATTAATCCACACATGCACACTAACACTATACTATGCTTTTCTATACTGCACTATAATTATAACTGGAAGCTTACTCTGTTGACTTCTGCTGCTACTGCTGCCGCAGCTGTTTCTTCAGGTCTGCTGCTGTTCTTCTCTGCTTTGCTCTCTTCAGTTCCTACTCTTTTAGCTGTTCCACTGACACACTGCCTTTTATAGTGTCCTGTCATAACTTTCTAGACGCATGACATCATCAGATCTTTCCTGCCCATGCTCAGTACCAAACATTATCTCACATTCTTGAACGCATGCCAACATTCCACGCATGCTCACTGCCATTGTTTACCCAAGAGTTATGATTACATCATCTGACCTTTCCCTTACTTTTGACCTTTCCCCTACTTTTGTACTGCACATGCTCAGAAATATCATGTGACCTGCAGCTTTCAATCGTGACTCTTGCTTATTCAAAATGGAGGTCAGAAATGCAAGATGGACTCTGGAGAATTTCTCCTGTATCAGATTCACTCTCCAAAGCAGTCAGTCCAGCATCTTTTATTAAATGTACTATTGAAAAAATCTGTTTAGCAAAGTACAGAAAAATTACAATCCTGTCAGTTGAAAAGTGCATCAAATGCACAAACTACAGAAATTCATACTGTTAAAGAGATAATGTACATGATGTCTAATTTATCTGACTAGTAAAATAACCTGATGTGTAATCTCAGTTTCTTTATTTTATTATTCTGGTGTTAGTTTATAATCATACTCATACATTCTCCCATATTAATAGGAACAAAAGAGGCATTGTATCTACTTTAACATGCAGTAAAAATGATACTTAGCTGGTGTATGGTTATGCCAGAAACAGCAAAAATAAATATCAGTAATAAATCATATTCTTCACATTGTGACGTTAACAAGAGATAGGACTTAATATCTGGAAAAAAAAACTTGTGTGGTGTTGTTAGTCAAGAAGTAGTAATTTCACTAGCCTCCATGTTTATGAGGGAATAAACAGCTTCTGTGTACTGATGGATTTTATAGACCATATTTTTGGGGTTATTTTATTATAAGGAGACAAGAAAGACAGCATACTTTTTAAAAAATACTAAAGGGGCAATAGTTCCATAAGTTCAGATGGGAATTTTTTTATTACGCTGGCTGTCTTCTCTCCTTCCTTACTCCTTCCATCAGAAAATAAGGAACTCAGTATAAACTTGTGTATTGGTATAATATACAATATTTTTTGGCAAAGCAAACCTTCCTTACTGTAAAATATACTGTGGTTAGTGGTTAAATGACTTTAGGACAGGGGACATCAACATATATTTCTGGTTATCTACCAATGATACACTTACACCTGTGCCCATAACATACAGTCAAGTACAGAGGAGACCTTTTCCCTTCTGTTCTTCTTATAACTTACATTTATGAGGGGAGCAGAGGTGGATTTTATTGCACGTTGCTGAGTGGCTGAAGTTAGTTGGTCCTGTGAATGCCGTGGAGATGCGTGGATATGTACTGATTGTCTTTTTTAATGGTGTAATTAAATTTTGGCTTCAGGTTTTTTTAAGCTTTTCACTTATTGAAATCAAATAGCATGTTCTCTGAAGCTCAAAAGGTAAAATGACATTTTAAATATTATATACGCTATGCACAGATGCCCTGGTCCTTCAAACACTAGTGTTTGCAGGAGCAGGACCATAATCAACAAAAGAAATTCCACACCATAACAGATTTTACTTTCTGCTTGTGTTTTGTCTTTTCAGCATTCAGCAAATTCCAGATTTGCTCATTCTAGTTTATTGGCATTTCAACTAATCAGGCTCCTTTCCTTGAGCACCACAATATTTAAGCTCAAACCAATCCATTTTCTAATTAATATGTATTCTGTAATCAATTAGTCACCAATATATTTTTCTCCTTCTGTAAGAAAAGGAGCCATGAAATATTTCCTGGAGTCAATTTTAGAAGTGCTTTCAATAACATGTTTGTAACTCATCTCTTTCCCTTCTTCACATGTCATCTCACCTTCTTTATTTATTTATTTATTTTTTTAATTTAAACACCATTCAAAGACTTTATCTAAACTAAAACAGAAGCAAGAGAGCATCTGTTTCTGCGGTGGTTTATTGTTCACCTGGTCATATTGTGTGGGAATAGTTACTATATGAGCCATTATAAAGAATAAATAATCCTATCTAGAGTTAACACTCCACTACTTAGATATGTATGATTACACAGAGGAGAATGCTGAACAAAGTTTATTATTACCTTCAGAAATAGAGGACACAAGTAAATATTTAATGGTAAACATTTCCATGGGAGATCATTGTTAGTTTACATGTGGTATTTAAGTGCAGTACCATCAACTCAAAGCTTGATTATTTTTGGAGCAGGTTTGTTTCATATACTACAAATACTGCAATAAAATATTTTTTGACATGTTGTTTTTGGACAATAGCCCAACCCTTTTTTTATGCACTGATGTGGGCTAATTCCCATTCATTTCTGAAGAGTTTCAAACATACATAAAGGCAGTTCTTCTGTTATTGTAGGAAAGTAGTAGATTTGCAGAGCTTTTGTGTGTGTGATGGAAAAGACTATAGTTTTTGGACTCAAATCTCTGCAGATCTATTTTCCAGCCTGCTTCTGACTTAACATATAGGTTTAAAGCATGAACTCAGTGCTTTTGTTTTTAATTTACACTGTGAGATTTGGAAGAGTAGGTGATGATGTGTCAGTAATGGGGAAAAAAAACCTAGGGAAGTATGTGTATGTGAAGCATGAAATTGAATTGTTGCAATGTCAAATGATTTTCTGTTGGGTAATAAATTCTTAGGAAAATATTAATCGGGACAGGCAGAAACTGCATTTGCTGATGTAGAGGTGTTTAAGAGGATTTGTTGTCTAAGTTTACTCTCGTTATTACTACTAAAGAAAATCATAAAGTGCACTGTTTAACAAGCTAATATATTTGCTGCTGCGACTAATGTTCTACATATTATAATGATGGCAATAGCCTGTTGTTGTTAAGGGGCTGTTTGGGACAGCCAGGAATTTTTAGGTTTAATCAAATTTTTATGTAGTTACAAGCCAAGGCATTTTAAGTTTCTAATGCTAGTCTATAGCCCCTGAGGGTATAATGACCTGCTGAAATGTTTTGTGAATTTAAAGCTAGTTTAAACATCGCAACGTCAGTATATTCAACCTAAAGATTTAAATAAGTTTACAGCTGTGGTTGCATGAGTCAGGGCCAGTGGTCATTTTCAGTAGCTCTTAAACATGTCATCTCAATTATCCTTCAATCCACTCTTGAACCAGGGAGGAGAAGCAAGACAGGTTCCATTAAATTTCTCTTCAGTTCAGTTTTCTTCAGATGTTGCAGCAGAAACTTGTCTAGAGTGACTTCTGATCAGGAGAAAAATCATTTGAAAGAGCATACCTAGCAGCTAGAAAAATCACAGCAAAAAGGAAAAAAATATGTTATCAGAACCTAAGATGCACACATACAATATGCTCAAACAGTTCCACCTTATTTTCCATTTATTGATTGATTCATTTGGAAAGGTCTTATTAAATTTATTCATCATGGTGGTGGTAGTAATACTTTTGCTGTTATAAAGCACTTTTCATTTGTAGATCTCAAAGCATATTGCAAAGGTGGATGAGA